ATTTTATCTTTCCTTCATATATGATTTTAAATTTTATCCTCCATTTCATCTTGTTTCTCTTAATGTATTATTTGTTATTTGTAGTCACTCTTATTTCCTTCTAATTTAATCATCATTTCTGATTTTTTTGGGGGGGGAGTGCTGGGGATTAAACCCAGGGGCACTTATATTTTAGTTTGTATTATTATTATTTTTGATACTAGGGACTGAACCCAGAGAAACTTACCCACTAAGCCACATCCCCAATCCTTTTTTTTGTATTTTGTTTAGAGAGAGGGTCTCACTGAGTAGCTTAGGGCCTATTGCTAAGTTTCTGAGGCTGGCTTTGAATTTGCAGTCCTCCTGCCTTAGCCTCCCAAAGCCTCTAGGATTACAGGTGTGCATCACCACACCCAGCTTCATTTCTGAAAAAAAATTTTTTACATGGTTTTTAATGTCTTTTAACTCATTTTGAATTGGTTAGGATTTTTTTTTTGTTTTTCTTGGCATGTCTTGAGTGCTTTAATTTTGTCTGTGGGTATGCTATCTATTCATATTCTTATTCTTCTTGTCCCCCTGCCCTGCTGTACTGAAAAATTGAACCCAGGGCTTTGTACATATTAGGCAAGCAGGTACCACTGAGCTACCTCTCAGCCCTTTCTGTTTTATTTCGAGACAGGGTCTTGCTAAGTTACACAGGCTTAGTTTTCCTGAATGTTAATAAGAAGGTTAATGTATAGATACTTTTCAGCTTCACTATTTTATTTTTGTGAAGTGTTCAGAAATATAGATGTTGGCTTTCTGAGATTTCTTAGCTGTTTTTCCTCACTTTCATTTGACTTTTTCTTTATCTCTGTTTTCCTTGTCCTGTTCAATTTGGCCTCATCCTGGGAAAGAACCTGGCTGGTAGAGAGTTTCCATGAGCTACATTGCTCCGTCTCCTTTGGAGCATTTGTAGTGTAGCCCCACCTTTATGAGAATGGACACATTCTCTCTCAGTTTCAGCTACTGTCCTCTGGTTAGCCTGGAGGAAAATCTTCATACATTCTCTAGTGAACACCTTTGGCTCCGGGGGCAGTTCTTCAGTTCTCAGATCCATCAGATGCCTCATTCTTCCCCACTGCATTATTCCCATAAGGATGTTTTAGAGCTCTTGTGCTTTGCTTCATCCATGATTTGTATTGGGCGCTTCTTTTTTTCTTTTCTATAAGTGCATTTAGTTTTTAACTAGTTTATTTCCTGATAACTATTATTTGGGAGTTCTTGAAATTGTCTTCCCACACAATTTATCCATGGATTTTTGTCTTTTCCTATCTGGTTGCACTTTAGATTTTTATATGCTATTCAGGAAGATTGAAAGTCTGTGCTGCCACTTGCACTGCCATCCTCTGGGAACTCAATAAGCATCTTTAAAGCCATATCTTGCCAAGTATGGTGGCATATGCCTCTAATCCCAGGTACTTGGAAGGCTGAGGCTGAAGGATTGCAGGTTTGACACCAGCGTGAGCAACTTAATTAGACTCCATCCCAAAATTAAAAAGTAAAAAGGCTGGGGATGAGCTGGGCAGGGTGGCACACACCTATAATCCCAGCGACTCAGGAGCCCGAAGCAGGAAGATCACAAGTTCAAACCCAGTCTCAGCAATTTAGTGACACTTTGAGCACCTCAGCCAGACCCTGTCTCTAATAAAATATATTTTTAAAAAGGGGCTGGGACAGGGCTGGGGTTGTTGCTCAGTGGTAGAGCTCTTGCCTCAAACATGTGCTTCATGTGTTCCATCCTCAGCACCACATAAAAACAAATAAATAAAGGTATTGTGTCCATCTACAACTGAAAAGATATTTAAAAAGGGCGGGGGGGAGCTAGGGATATGGCTTGATGGTTAAGCACCCCTGGGGTCAATCCTGGTACCAAAAAAAAAGCTAAGGATAATACAGGTATACAGTGGTGCCCTCCTTTAATCCCAGTGTCTCAAGGGGCTAAGGCAGAAGGATCACAAGTTCAAGACCAGCCTCAGAAACAACTAAACAACTTAGTGAGACCCTGTGGGGGACTGGAGATACACCTCAATAGTAAAGCGTACATCTTCCCCACCCCTGGCTTCCCCCACTTAAATCATTCACACCAGAAAAAGGGGGGGTGGAGCCTGGGAATGTAGTGTGGTAATAGATTACTCCTAGGTTCAATCCCCAGTACTGCAAAAACAAGTTATCTCCCTACACATCTTTGGTTTTAATGCAGATCATTGGCATGAGAGAAAGGAATTCTGGACCTCAGGTCACAATCAGATTGTTTTGCCTTATGTTGCAGAGGGAACTTTTTCTGCACTGATACCACGAAATGGTTTCTGGTCCATTAGTCAGTATTTTTATTCTTCTTTTTCTAGGTAGGATCCATGCTAAAAGAGCTTCTGGGGGAAAGCTAATCTTCTATGACCTTCGAGGAGAGGGGGTCAAGTTGCAAGTCATGGCCAATTCCAGGTACATAGAAGTATCCTGTTTCAATCCCTTCTGTGCTGGCCTAGAGGAACACAGTTTGGGACACTGCTGATGTCTTATTTTCTCATTGGTATTTGAAGTTAGAATAAGAAGGAAGGGCAAGGTTGGGTAAGGCTGAGGAGAAGATAAAAAGATCATCTGTGCACCTGGAAAATAATGACTGCTCTCCAGTTGCATGACAACTAAAATAAGAAGATAATTGTTTTTAGCGGTTAGCCATGAATCTGAGATTCTTCTTGGGCTCATTAAGTACTAAACAGTTGAGTTAGGGTTCTATAGTAAACCTGTGGCCAGTATTCATTTGAAATAATGTTCAATGAGTTACATTTACTTTCATTCAGGAATTACAAATCAGAGGAAGAATTTATTCATATCAATAACAAACTGCGCCGAGGAGACATAATTGGAGTTCAGGGGAATCCTGGGAAAACCAAGAAGGGCGAGTTGAGTATCATTCCCTATGAGATCACACTGCTCTCTCCCTGCTTGCATATGCTACCTCATCTTCACTTTGGCCTCAAAGACAAGGTAAGTTCTCATAATCTGCTAGCTGTAGCACAGAGATGCATTCCGTTTTGTTTTTTCATATCACTGAATTAAACCAGTGATTTCTAACTGCTGCTTTTGGTTTAGGAAACAAGGTATCGTCAGAGATACTTGGACTTGATCCTGAATGACTTTGTGAGGCAGAAATTTATCATCCGCTCTAAGATCATCACATACATAAGAAGTTTCTTGGATGAGCTGGGATTTCTAGAGGTAATGGAGGGATGGAGGGTGAAGGTTCCTTAGGTGACGTGATGAGCCACCTTGCCATGTTTGTCTCTTACGATCCCTTCCCTTCTCCTTTCCAAGCCATTTCCTATATCAGTTTCCTTCACGCCTAATGAGACCATCCTTTTTTTTTTTTTTTTTTTTGGCCATTGTCTTTGTTGTACCTTAATTATTTAGCATTCTGACTCCCAAAATAATGAGCAAGGTGTAGGGCATCCACATGCATGTCATGTTCAATATGTTATCAAGTCTTTGTGGGTTTTGTAGCATTAAAAAATATTTTTTAATTGTATGAAAAAGACAGATGTATGTAGTGGGAAACAAAGTAAATAGAAGCAAATGTGAAAGTACCTTTTGCTTCTTTTAACCAACTTCCTTCCCCAAACTGGAGCATTAAAATGTATTCTTTCTTACCATTTACTATGCATATATGCATACAGTATAAATGGAGTATGTGTGTGTAAATGTTTTGGAGAGCTTGTTTTAGTTTTTGCTTTAACTATAAATGGAGTCACATTCTGTATTATAATGAACCTACCCTTCCACTTCATATATTTTGGAGCCTTTGTGCCTCACACGTACCTCACATGAACCAATGTTCCACATTGAACCCAGGGTGCTTAACTACTGAGCAACATCCCTCACCCTTTTTATTTTTTTATTTTAAGACAGAGTCTTACTAAGTTGCTTAGGCCCTTAGCCTCTTGAACTGCTGGGATAACAGGCATGCACCACCACCCCCAGCGGGCCCCCCCACACACACATTTCTTTTAAATGAGGCATAATTTATTGCTTCTCCTATTAATAATTTAGGTTTTTTCTGGTTTTCATCTATATTAAATATTTCAGTGAACATCTTTATGCACACATGCAAATGTTTCTGCAAGATGAATCCCTAGGGGCTTGGGATATAGCTCAGTTGGTAGAGTGCTTGCCTTATATGCACACAGCCCTGGGTTCAATCCCCAGCACCACAAAAAGAAAGAAAAATAGATGAATCCCTAAAAGTAGAATAACTCCAAGGATGTAAGCAGTTAGATTTATAATAAATACTGCAAACTGAATTCAAGAAATGCTGTAGTCATTTAGATTACCATTTTTAGCTTATGAAAATATTTGATCCTGTGTGTTATTAATGGAAATGAGACACTAATCTAGAAAATGAAGCAATCTATTTTTCTTTGTCAAGCACATGTTTATTACTGTTGAACTCACTTTTACTTTGAGATGTGATATTGAAAGCATGGTCCCTGATTATATGAGAACTTAATATTTCTCTCTGTCTTCTTAAGATTGAAACTCCTATGATGAATATCATCCCAGGAGGTGCTGTAGCCAAGCCTTTCATCACTTACCACAATGAGCTGGACATGAACTTATATATGAGAATTGCTCCAGAACTGTACCATAAGGTAGTCAATAATAACCTATTTCCTTAAAGAAGCTGGAGACTGGAAAATAATCAGCTAGCTAGGTATGATCAGAAACAATAGTAGTATTAAAGATTTAATAGCAGGAGAATGTTCTGATTTGTCAGGTTTATGGGTGTAATACTTCTAGAATTTCTCTACAAGGTCAGTAGAGCCTTGCAGTGTAGAGTTTAGAAGGATTGCAGTAAGTATACAGATATACCTACTTTGATTCCTCTAAAATTATAAAGTTTATAGTTTAGATCTGATTTTAGTCTTTTGTAAAAGAAAGATCATAGCCTATCATTTTGGTTTCTTAGTTGTAGACAACAGAACTTGTTAACTAGTTTAAGGAAAATAAAAATTTATTCATCTGTATGAGGAAGCTCACAATCTCTAAGACAATCAGGCAGTCAGGCTCGGAGACCACATAACTAAGAATGATGCTGAATCACATTTCATGTAGAACATGGTGTCTTTTCTTCTAGGCATAGGTCACTGCTACTATCTGTAAAAGGTGGATATCTGATCCCCTTCACCAAAATGAATTTTGTGCAATACCTACATCTTTTTTTAGTAGCTACCATGTTAAAAGTCTCACAGTTGTGTCGGATTGGTTGGAGCTTGGTCACTTACTTGTTGCCTAACCCAAGATGCTTCTTTGGAGAGGCCCAAGGAGACAGGACAGGGAGATACAGAAAGAGTGTTCATAAGTCCTAGGTAGCCAAAAAGAATGACATCTGTTTACTACAAGGGTCTAAATAAAGCATGTGTAAGCTGTGATAACCAGTTAGTATATAGAAACTTTCCAGGACTGTTCAGACATGACTTCCTTCTCTGAGTATGGCCAATGTGTTGTCAGATGCTGGTGGTTGGTGGCATTGACCGGGTTTATGAAATTGGACGCCAATTCCGGAATGAAGGGATTGATTTGACTCACAATCCTGAGTTCACCACCTGTGAGTTCTACATGGCATATGCAGACTATCACGATCTCATGGAAATCACAGAGAAGATGGTTTCAGGTGAGTCCTGCTCACTTTATCTTTCAAATTTATCTGTGGGGGCAGGTGTGCTGCCTCAAGAGGAGAGTTTCTTGGGCTTCATTCTTTTGAAATGGCGGGTTTCTCTTCAGGAATGGTGAAGAACATTACAGGCAGTTACAAGATCACTTACCACCCAGATGGCCCAGAGGGCCAAGCCTATGAGATTGATTTCACCCCACCTTTCCGGAGAATCAGCATGGTAGAAGAGCTTGAGAAAGCCCTGGGGGTGAAGCTGCCAGAAACAAACCTCTTTGAAACTGAAGGTAAAATAATAGTCCTCTATTTTACAGCCTGTCTTCCTGTTCAGCCCCAAATTGATTGGGTCAGAGCTAAAATTTCTATATCATTCTCTTTTTTGGCTTTATTGTTGTTTGTTTTGCAATGCTGGGGATTGAACCCAGGATTCACACATGCTCTACTACTGAGCCACGTTCCCAGCCCCCTCTTTATATGTTTTTACTGGGCTAATGTAATGTGTCTTGTCCTAACTCTTATATTTGTTACCACAGAAACTCGCAAAATTCTTGATGATATCTGTGTGGCAAAAGCTGTCGAATGCCCTCCACCTCGGACCACTGCCAGGCTCCTTGATAAGGTTAGAGGCCATGCCTTATCATGTGCTCATGTCTGTAGGAAACAGTTCACACTGGGAAGAGTTCATTTTTGCAGCTTCATAGGAAAACTGTAGAGAAAATAAAAAAATTAAGAACTGGGCATGGTGACACACTCTTGAAATCCCAGCACCTCTAGAGACTGAGGCTGTTTGAGGCCAGCCACAGCAGCTTAGTGAGACCCTGTCTCAAAATAAAAAAGGTCCCTGGGTTCAATCTCGAGTACCAAAAATAAAAAACTTTAAACTGTTATACTAAGCTTTGTGCCAAGCAGTTCATGTGTATTATCTCAGCTAGTCCTTTCCCGTCTTTGAAAAAGCTATAGGATAAATCCATCTGGATGGGAGCTGAGGTCTCCTTTTGGGCTAAGACTATCAAAATACTATTCAGAAGTGACATCTAAATCTGTTTTGCTTTCTGATTAAGCTTGTTGGGGAGTTCCTGGAAGTGACATGCATCAATCCTACTTTCATCTGTGATCACCCGCAGATAATGAGCCCTTTGGCCAAATGGTAAGATATAACATGGTATTTTAGTTCTCTATTTCTGCATAGCCACCCTAAAACTTAGTAGTGTAAAACAGGTTTTTTTTTTTAGGATTTCCTAGGTTTGACTAGTTGGTGTTCTCCATGTAATGTTAGCTAGGATAAATCAGGTGGCTTTTTTCGATGGGGAATTCTTCTGCCAGGGAACTTTGGTTCTCCTCCCCATGGTCTACCAGATGGGACATCATCCTCCAGGGCCTTTTTATGTGGCCTCTGGCAGCATGGCCTGAGCTTCCTTTCAGCATAGCCAAGCCTTAACATGCAAAAAAACATATCAAGTGAGGCACATATCAAGTGGGCCATAGTGGTAATCACCTGTATCCCAGTGACTTGGAAGGTTGAGGCAGGAGGATCACAGGTTTGAGGCCAGCCTCAGCAACTTTACAAGGCCATGGCAACTTAGTGAGACCCTTTCTCAAAATAAAAAATAAAAAGGACTGGGAATGTAGCTCAGTGGTAAAGTGCCCTTGGGTTCAATCTGTAATATCAGAAATAAAACAGCAAGCTTCAGCTAATACCTCATTGACCAAACCAAGTCATGGCCTGCCCACAATTCAAGTGAGCAGGATGCAGAAGGTCATGAATATAGGAGGTGTGGTTCCATGTAACTGTCCGCCACACTGCTTATATGAAGCTAATCATATTTTCCTGGTTCTCTCACCCTCTTCACTATTACATGAAATGATTTGGTGCTGAGACTACATGTAGGCTTTAGGTCATCATCATAATTTCAGTCATACTTTTCAGTCCACTTTAATTCAGGAGCTCTTGTACCAGATGTTAAGTTAGGGGCCTAGATATGCAGCCTTCTCTATGGTCTTCTGTGCCCAGGCACCGCACCAAAGAGGGTTTGACTGAACGCTTTGAGCTATTCGTCATGAAGAAGGAAATATGCAATGCCTACACTGAGCTGAATGATCCCATGAGGCAGCGGCAGCTGTTTGAAGAACAGGCCAAGGTAAGAAAAGAGAGTGCAGACAAAGGCACATTTCACCACCTAACTCGGTCACCAGAAGATAGCAGCCTTCATTCACCCTGGTCTGTGTCAATGTGTAGCTTTCTTGGTGACTAAAAAGAAAGAAGGATAAGCACAACCTTTGTTGGAGGAACTCACATTTCAAGGTGGAAACTTTGGTTTTTGACTGAAAAACACAGATTTTCTGTTGGGGAACATGATATTTGTCTTTTTAAAAATACATTTGCCTAACAAGAACATTATTTTTCTTGGATTGTATATTTATTAAAGTGGCTTCGAAATGAGGCAGATAAAGATATAAAGAAGACAAAAACCCAGCAGGCTGCCTGAACTATCACTGCCACCAATGGGTGGTCTCAGGAAATGAGAGGACTCTTAAATCATCATATAGTCTTTTGAGAATTAGTCTCACTGAGAGTTCCAGAGTCCCAAGCAGTGGAGTCATTTTAGAGAATTTGTATGCATTCTGAGATAGAATTCATCAGTTCAGATCTCCGGGTTTTTGGAAAAAAGAGAAACAAACAAACAAAACAAAAACAGATCAATCCTGGAGTTAACTGGGAAATCCCAGTTTCCAGTAAGTCTTGAGTGCTAGGAGGTACTCCTTCAGATGTTTCATTGTGTTCATTTGGACATTGATATGTCCTGGAAGAGTGTCATCTTTTGGTTCTTTTTATTCTTCTAGGCCAAGGCTGCTGGTGACGATGAGGCCATGTTCATAGATGAAAATTTCTGTACTGCCCTGGAATATGGGCTGCCCCCTACAGCTGGCTGGGGCATGGGCATTGACCGCATCACAATGTTTCTCACAGATTCCAATAACATCAAGGTACACAGCAGCCCTCCATAGCACACACTGCCCAAAATTCTATTGTGTTGGAAGCAGAGCATGTGGCCCAGGAGAATAAAGAAAAGTTTGGGGGGTATTGGGAGGAGCTGTTGGAGGAGTTCCACACCACTCCACAGGAGGTGGCTGAGAGCAATCTGACTTTAGAGGATTTAGTTTCTCCATATGAGACAGGAGGAATACTGATTATTTGCGTTTCATGCGTTTCCAGGAGAGTGCTGAGCTCTCTAAAGGTGTTAGTTCATTTAATTTAAGTCAGCCCTGTTAAGTGTGGAAACCGATTTTTGTCCAAATTTTAATAGCGCCCATGTTTACTAATTCTATGGCACCCTAAGTAGTGCTGTGCACTAGTTCTCTTCCATCTGTTACTGAGAGGGATTGAGTTGAAATAAAAGAACACATTGATTTTTTTAGTGGATTTGGGTGGTAACATTAACAGAGGCAAAAGGAATAGAATGCTTCCTAGCTTTAAAATGCATCTTTATCTCCTATAGGAGGTACTCCTGTTTCCTGCCATGAAGCCCGAAGACAAGAAGGAGACTGTAACAACCACTGATAAACTGGAAGGCACAACAGTTGGCACTTCTGTGTAGAAAACAGTTCCAGGGCATGTAATCAGGAATCCTTGCATTTCTGCAAAAGATCAGGTCTTCGAGGGAATTCTTTTATGTTGCCATCTATTTGACTACCACAGTTCAGTTCAGCCACCAGAAGAAAGAAGATGAATTAAGAGTTTCTTTTTACTCCTTGTTACCAAATAAACCATTTGTCTCTATCTTTGAACTGGTAACTCTTTACTCAAACTACTGGTTCAATGAATGCTTAGGTTTGTCCCATCTTATTTTTGGAACAAATTTGTACTAATGTCTGTTCTGTGTGGGCATTGTTTTGTTTTAAGGGATTTGGGGGCACAGCAGTGAACAAAAGTCAAACCACTACTTTCATGAAATTTGTATTCTTTTTGGGTTGGGGCAGCAGTAGGAAAAATAGACAAGAAACAAGTAAATAGATATTCTTTCTGGTGGGGGTACACACAAAGAAGAAAACTGGAGCAGGTGAGGGGACAGAGGTGCTATTCTGGATGTGGATGGGGGAGTGCTATTTTGAATATGGCTATCAGAAATAGCTATGCTATGGGACAATTAAGTAAAGATCTGGAAAGAGAGATGAGTGGGAAAAGGGCAATCCAGACTAGAGAACCATATTTTTGAGGAACAGCAAAGGGATTAGTAAAGGACAGTGAGGGGCCAGATTGTATAAGCCTGTGATAGTCACAGAATTATTTCATAATGAGCAAGATGGAAAGCCATTGGAGAGCTGAGCAAAGAATTACTTTTAAGGATGATTCTAGCTAGTGTGTGAAGAGCAAGAGTGAAAGCAAGCTGTTGTACTGGGCTGGGGAGAGATCATAGCTTAGTTTTGGGTGTTAGCGATGGAAATTGTTGCACTTTTCTGGTTTCTGAGGGCAACAGAATTGGCTGATGAGATGTGGGATGAGAAAAGAAAATGTATTTCAGGGTTTCAGTTCTGAACAACTAGAAAAGTAGAGTCACCTTTTAGTGAGATGGGAAAAACTGAGGAAATGCATGTTTGAGAGGGAAAGATGAGAGTTTGGTTGGGACCTATTAAGTTTGTCATACCTTTTAGACATGCAGGTGGAGATAATCCTGTTCAATAGGGAGCCTGAAATTTTCTCATTTTTAGCTTAATTCAGCAGGGCTGAGAATGTGACATGACAGGGTGTGGCTGAGAGCCTGTTGTTAGAATGGAGCCCCTTCTCCCTGACATGGAAGCAGCTGGAAAGAACTGTATTCAGAAGAGTCATGTATCAGAAAGAACTCGTTATTTGCACCTCAGCAAAAATCTCTGCAAGCATCCTAGTTTGGGAGTTGCCAGTCTACTTTCATAGAGCAGGTTTCTACTGGTATAGTTGGTAAAATGATCTAACTTAGAACTAACAGCATATCTAACTGGGAACTACTGGGAGTGTGGAGCATCCGCACTCCTAGTTAAGCTATGGATAACCAGATCATTTTTAAAAAAGAAACACTTCCAATATGGTACAATACTCAGAAAGGCAATGTTAATTAAGATGGAGAAAGCCAACCCTCCATTGGGAGTATGTAGAGGATCAAGACCAGATAAGGGACTGAGCTGCGGCAACACTGTCAATGTGGACCATTGGAAAAAGCTATCAGGACTGATGAAATTATTAGTGACCTAAAGATTTATTCGGCAGGCTGGAAACAGAAACCAGCTGTCTGGCCTTAAGTCTCTGGGAATAGAGGAATAGGTAGCAGTAAACTTGTATGTGGGGTTTAGCAGGAAACTGACAAACAGGATGAAAGCTAGAAGGGAATAGAAAGAGTCCTCATTACTTCATCAAACAATTGAAGGCTGACAATTTGCTGACTTCTATACTAGAGTAAGCAGAAACACCTGGTCCCAAACTTTAAGTTCTAGACTTGTAAGGAAAAGAGATTTTAAAAAATCATCCACCAGGCTGGGGATGTGGAGGCGGTGGCGGGCTCACCTGGCATGCGTGCGGCCAGGGTTTGATCCTCAGCACCACATACAAAGATGTTGTGTCCGCCAAAAACTGAAAAATAAATATTGAAATTCTCTCTCTCAAAAATAAATAAATAAAATAAAAAAAATCATCCACCAAAATTTGTATAAAATGCCAGCTCTGGTAAACGCTTTGAAGAAATCCATGGGGTACTGAGAAACTGAAACTGAGGTAGGAAAGGTTTGTTTCTCTGAGGACATTAGAGTTGAGATGTAAAGGAAAGTCAACGAAGGAGGAGGGTGTTACCATGATATGGAAACAGTACAAAGCCCCTATGGTAGAAAGGAGCACAGAAATAAAGCAAAGATAATCTGAGTACAGAAACCCAAAGAAATAGGACACCCGGTGAGACAGGAAGAGGCTGGGCATTCAGGGCTCTGAGCCCTACTATGTAGGGTTTTCTGTTTACTAAAAGTGCTGGGAGCTGGGAGGGCGCAGTGGTGCACTGTAATTCCAGCAGCTCAGTAGAGCACTTGCCTCACATGCTAGAGGCCTGGGTTTGCTCCCTGGCTATTTAGCCGCCTCCACATAGATGGGGATTGACCTAGAGCAGTAAAACCTAAGGTTGAAAGACTTCATTTTCCTATGTCCTCTAGGTCTCTTAGGCAAAGTAAAAGGCCTTATGGTTGAGTTTCAAACAACCTCATGGGTGGTGTCAGTGTTTGTCCTAAGGGTGCCTAGAATTCTAAACAGTGCTACACTTAAAATCAAGACCCAGACTAGCTGGGCATAGTGGTGCACGCCTGTAACCTCAGCGACTTGGGAGGCTGAGGCAGGAGGAGTGCCTCAGCCACAGCAAGGCACTAAGCAACTCAATGAGACCCTGTCTCTAAATAAGATACAAAAAAAGGCTGGAGATGTGGCTCAGTGGTTGAGTGTCCCTGAGTTTAATCCCCAATTACCATCCCACCCCCACCCACAAAAAAGTGCTGGGAATCCACTGAAATATTTAAGCAGGGGGATGCCATCACAGTGTGGTTTGAAGAGACCAGTCTGGCTTCTATAGAAATAAATGGGAGTTAGACAAGAAAAAGGTGAAAATTCAGAGATTAGAAATCAACCTAAGAGTACAGTGGCTTGGATAAGAGATTGTCTTGGAAGTACAAAGCAGCAGATGTGTTCTAGATAGGAAGAAAGATCAACAGGATGTGGCAATGGATTGGACTGTGTGTGTGTTAAGAGATATGATGAGGGCGCTCGTTTTTTACTTTATGACCGTAATATAAATCCCTGAGGTGAAAGAATGCTGCAAGATGACCTCACCCCACACACTGGAATATGTGTGACAGAATGGAGAGATGCATATTAATGATTCTGGGGGAGAGAAATGACAAGCAGTGTCCTTAACTTTGGAGGAGGGCTGTAGTTCTTTTCCTCTGAGCTAGAGAGAAGGACCAGGTCAAGTAAGTGGCACTTATACCTCTTTTTTTGGGGGGGGGGGGGCACCAGGGATTGAATTCAGGGGCCTCTAAGCCACACTACTATTTTTTGAATATGGCTACTAGAAAAATTTAACTACATGTAGCTCTAATTATATTTCTATGGAAAAGTGCTTGTTTAGACAGAAATCCAAACCAGAATTCAAAGATATATCATCCTGTTTCAAACCGTATCTCACCTGCAGAGGTCTCCCATCAGCGGGTTTCTCGTGAACCTAAGCGTGCGGCAGAGGCTGCGAGCTCTAAGGGCCGGCACCGCGGCTCTGGCTCCGCCTCCGCCTCCCGGAGGACTACAAGGCCCAGAGTGCACTGCGCGCCTCTGGGGGTGGGCCTGGGAGGCGCAGTCGCTTTAAACGTCACGTCCGCGGCGGCCCTGGGCTTCTGTGCTGAAGCTCTTTCCCTCCGGGGCTGTCCGTCGGGGAGGTGGAAGGGGTGCGTGTACGAGGGGTGGGAGTCCCCGGGTCAGGGGCGCGCAGTTGAGGGGTTTCTGGGTCGCTGGGTCAGGTGCTTCGGGACTGGCGTGGCCAGTTCGGTTTTATATGGGAAGAAGGGTCACACGTCACGTGGGAACGGTCGGGTCCACGCCCGGAGTTGTCAACACGCGCCGCGTGGAGCGCTCTCGTGGCGGGGGCGCGGCGTGCAGCCTCGAGCCGCTGCCTCGTGACCCGCGAGTCGGCGCTCGCCTGGTTCCCCCGTGACGGCGCCGGAGCCTCGCGGTCTTCCTTGGCCGCGGATTTAGCAAGGGGTTAGCGAATAGTAGCCTCCCGCTCCACCAAATCCCGGAAAAGCTCCTCTGTAGCTGACTTGACTTTTCTTTGAAAAGGAAGAACGTTCTTCAGCTTGCTGCAGCTGTTACAAAATGCGGCCTTGTGGGCAAAGGAACGCCTGTTTAACTGAGCTGTTTTATATGAAGGTGTTTTTCAAGCTCTGGAAGGGGTGCAGGCTTGAATTATAATGGACCCATTAAAACTTTCATGCATTTCAGCAGCTGCGTGTGTTCGTTAGCATCAGCTAGCTGAATGAGATGATTAGCTTGGATTGCTTTCTTGGGAGACACTGTTTCTTCTGGCAAATTCCCCCTTCCCTGACTGGCTTAGTTTGTTATGTGCATCTTTGCATTATTTTCAGGTGGATGGCAGGATATCTGCCTTCATAAAATATATTGCTTGTGATGCCTCCCTGGAAATGACAGGGGGAGTCCCTTCCAAATGAAGGATTTAGGATCTTCCATACTTCTCTTTGCTTCTAAAGATTCAAGACTTCCCGCCCAGCGTGGTGGTGCAGGCCTGTAATCCCAGCTGCTGGGGAGGCTGAGGCAGGAGGATGGTGAGTTCAAACCCAGCCTCAGCAACATAGTATGGCCCACAGGAGATCCTGTCTATAATAAAATACAAAAAAAGGCTGGGGCTGGGGCTCAGTGGTTGGGGGGCGGGAATAGATTCAAGACTTCTGTGGTTCTCTGACTGTAAAATCACAATCTGTCGGGTCCTACAAGATTTTTGTTTAAAATCACTATGGTCTAATTAACCGTTACCATTTATTGCAGTAATAGCAGTGAGTAGAAATATCTATCATTACTTACTGACTTACTGCAATAATAGCATTGTATAAGTATTTTTCACAAGCTACATACATTTGAAATTCAGTATAACCTTTGTTGTTTGTGTTTTGTTTTACAGTGCTTGCAGTATGATCACATCTTCTACTAAGAAGCTTTCATATAATTGAGTCCAAGTGAGGTCAGGATGTATCTAGTGAGCACTGATACAACCAAGAGTAGAAGACTTTCCTACAAAATATCCCAGGCCTTTTTCAGGAGTGATCTTTTTTTTTTTTTAAATTCATGACTTTACGTGCCCATTACAGTCTACTTACCCACCACCAAGTAGATCAAGGTAAATTACCCACAACAGACATCAAATGGTTTTTTTTTTGGTAATATTAATCACAGTTGGTATTAATTGTTCAACATGGTAGCTTTTATAAATATTATTTGTAACTCTAATTGGTTGCTCTTATCACTGTTTTAAACCATGAGGAAACAAGTAGAAAAGTTACCAAGCTACCCACTATTATATAGTTCATTTGTGGAAAGCTGGAATTAGAACCCAGAAAGGGCAACTCCATGCCTAAACCCTTAAGCACACAGTTCCTCTAAGAGCTCTTGACTAGTGGGTACAAGGTAATTTTCTAGAGGGAGGTAGAGATTCATTCTATTGTAGGGAAAGAAGAGAAAAACAAAGTGCCTGAAAAGAACTTCTAAGAAGATAAACTTTGGATGGTGAGAGTCTGCCCAAAACAAGCTGAGTTCTGCAAACCTTTATGTGCTATTTCCAAATGGAAATTGAAGTAGTGAGGACGCTTCCCTGTCATTTGCTTTTGTGTTGAATAGTAAATGTACATTCATTAGATACTTGTGAGACATCTAATTTTCTTTCATGAAGAAACAAGTTTTCTGTGTTTGGGATTTGGGGCTTTAATTTTTCAAATTAAAGATGAGAAGGGGACAGGGAGGAAAATGGGAAAAAATTAACTAGAGTTCCACATAGAGGAATCTCAATCTGAACGTAATTGGGCTACACTGAAAAGACTGTCGAAGCACTGGTGCAAGGCTGTAGATCTGGTACTGGTTCTCCTTTCTGTACTTGTGATTGTTGTGGGTTTTGATCAGGGCCTCAGCACCAGCTCCAACCATGTGGACCCCAGATGAGATCGCTCAACTGTGCTATAAGCACTATGAGATCAGGCTGCCCAAGCAAGGGAAGCCGGAGCCAAACCGTGAATGGACGTTGTTGGCAGCTGTAGTGAAGATACAGTTTCCAATTTATGAGGCCAGTGACACTCCTGATAAGCCAGTACAAGGTAAGACCTTTTCTCCTGTCCCTTTCAGAGATGATAGAATTATGTGTTGCTACTCAGGGACAGTTGTAGGCAGGTTGCAACTACGATGTTAGGCATGTGTCCCTGATATCCACTAGGTGGCACAGTACTTGTAGCGGGAGACCTTTTGTGAGAATCCTCTGCAGAATTATTAAGCCTGAGCATGAGGGAAAATTTAGCCTCTGAGAGCTCACTTAATGATTTGTTTTTTCCTCTCAGTGACAAAAGAAGTTGTCTCAATGGGAACAGGAACGAAATGCATAGGCCAATCCAAAATGAGGAAGAGTGGTAAGCATGGGTAGGGGTCTAAGCAAAGAATTGTCTCCCTGGGAGCTTTGGAAACCAGTGTCCATGTTAACCTTTGCTCTCCTTGTCAGAGAAAAAGGGCCATATTAGTTGAGGTAGCTGACCTCTCATTTCCTATTGACTCTCACTCCAATTGGAAGACAGTCCTTATTTAAAGAATGGAAATTCAAAGTGAAAGCAAAGGTCACCAGGACCATGCTTTCTGGATGAACGGAAATCCAGTCAGTATTTTCATACTCAAACTACAAGTTCCTTGGGTTTAACTATTCCAGATTATTGTCTGGAAGGCTTTCAGGCATTGTAGCAGGTAGAGGATGTAGCTCAAGTGGCTTCTGAAGTCCCAGAAGCAATTTTGAGTTAGATGGAGCTTTTGGTCCCAACAGAATATGGAAATTCTTTATAGAGTCTGGGATCATTATCTTCTGCTTCTAGTTAGGAGGTACCTTTTTGAGTTTGCTTGCTGCATTCTCTGAGCCTTGCCTCCTATATATGAGGAAGCTGTACTAGGACAGAATTAGATAGAATTGGAACCATTAGCATAATGTGATACTAGATCTTTTGTATATCTGTACCCTGGTCTCCAGGTAGAGATTTTTCTATAAATCAGTGTTTCTCAACTAGGGGCAATTTTGCATACCAGGGTACATTTGGCAATGTTTAGAGGTGTTTTTTGTGTCACCACTAGGAGAGGGGTATTCTTGGCATCTTTTGAAGTGTCAGGAGTGCTGCTAAACGTCTTGTAATGCATAGGCTAGTCCCCTGCAGCAAAGGATTGTCTATCCCCTGATGTCTATGCTGAGTTGAGGAACCAAGCTGTAAATGCTTTACCATTAATTGTGATACCTTATAGCAAAGCCCTTCAGGAGCTCCATGGCCATCCTGAGTGCTGGGGTACTGCTGTTTTCCGTTTCTAGGAACTAGGCCCTCTCCAGTATGTCTTCCATATGTCTTCACCTACTCCTGTCTTTGCCGTAGGAGATATTCTCAACGATAGCCATGCTGAGGTTATAGCCAGAAGGAGTTTCCAAAGGTAAAGCCATATCCCCAGAGAATCTGATTCCCTGGGTTTGGGATGGTGACCCAGAATTGTGTTTCTTCTAAACTCTTAGGTAATATAGATTGTCAGTCTGTAAACTGCTGTGGTCTAGACTTCAAACTAGAATGTGCATTAGAGTCACCTAGAAAGCTTGATAAAAGCCAGATAGGTCAGTGGTAAACTGCTTGCCTAGCATGTTCGAAGCCCTCGGTTCAATTCCCCAGCATTGAAAACATTAAAAAATAATAAAAAGCTAACCAAATGCAGTAGCACATGCCTGTAATCCCAGTGACTCAGGAGGCTAAGGCAGAAGGATCACAAGTTCAAGGCCAGCCTTAGCAGTAAGACAGTGTCTACCCTGGATCTGCTAAATTAGAATCTCTAGGGTGGGTCCATCAGTCTGTGTGGGTGTTTGTTTTTGCAGTACTGAGCTACACCCCCAGCCACCTTGTTCATTCTGGTCATATTTTATAATCCTTAGGTACCTTCTCTATCAGCTGCAGTTGGCAGCTACCCTAAACAAGGAGAGTATCTTTGTCCCAGGAACTCAAAGAGGACTGTGGAAACTCAGACCCAACCTCTTGTTTGTGTTTTTCTCCAGCCATACGCCCTGTAAGTATATTCAAGCCTTTGTACTAATGTTGCATTGTTTACTTCTTTATGTTTGTTTTACCCATAGAGATGTTTTTCAGAAATAGTCCTCTGGCTAAAATATAGCTACAGTGGGTGACAGCGCCTTTTTATGTACCTAGTCACTTCTCTACTGGTGGAAGGCAATGGGACAGGTAGGGAGAGGTGGATAGAGTCTTACACAATCAGTTCTCAGAATTAAGCTCTGTTAGATGTGAAGCCAACAATGGGGCTCAGGAGTCCAAAGTCCTCCTATGATAACTTAGCCTGAAACTCGTTTCATTCATTGACTTATTGAACACATTTTCTATTACCTAGGCACAATGTGACATACTGAATATAGTAGCAGTTGCTTATCATAATAGAGTCTTTTAGGCCATGTAGACTATCCTGGTTATTTAGGGTAAATGTTATTGGGTTATTAGGGGATGTTCAGGAGCTTAGTCTCAGGAGTTATAGTCTCAGCAACTTAGCTAAACTCTTGTCTCAGAAATAAAATAAAAAGGGCTGGAGATGTAGTTCAGAGGTAGAGTACCCCTGGGTTCAATTTCCAGTACCAAAAACAAAAAACAGAAGAACAGACCTAGATAACCTAAGGGGTCATTTCTTTCTTCTGTTTTTCTTTCTCAAAAGCTGAAAATACTGCCTATTCTTTGTAGACACAACTCAGTGTTGGCAGTAGAATTTCTTCATCCTAAAAACTTTGACATAAGGATATAAGATTGTCTTCTGGGTATTGAACTTTAATGCAAGTAAAGCAGAGATGGGTAATCATTATAAAGAGACAAGAGAACTGTCAAGATTTGATCATAATGCAGGTTGAAAATATTGTTATAGCTCAAAAAAGAATAAGGATGGAAACGAGTTGACTAAGAGTAGAAGTCAAGGGGTGGGGTTGTGGCTCAGTGGGAGAGTGTTTGCCTCACATGCATCAGGCACTGGGTTTGTTTCTCAACACTACATAAATAAGTAAAAAAATAAAGGTATTGTGTCCATCTACAACAAAAAAATTTTAAAAAATAGAAGTCAAGAAAAATGACAGGTAGATAGGGCTCATCTGTGCTCTATCCATGACTGTGGGTACACTAGTCCAAGGACCAAAGGATGTTTCCTGGTCAGTGCTTCTCAAACCATAATATGCACACGGATCATCCACAAATGTTAAAATGCAGGCAGTAGGTTTGGAGTGAGGTCTGAGGTTCTGCATTTCTAACCAACTCAGAGGATGCCAGTGATGATATCTATGGGTCACACTTTAAGTAGCCAGGGCTTGGGTGGTCCCAGTGGCAGGTCCCATCTTTCTCCTTACTTTGAAGACAGATGCATCCAGGGTCAGACTGATAGCCCAACCAAACTATATAAACCAGCGGTCCACAGATGTGCTGATCTGTGAGTCCATGGCAAAATAAGAGAGTTGTTGGGTTCACTAAACTTAAAAGACTTTTCTTTCTCCTTCCTTCCTTCTTTCCTTCCTTCCTTTATGGTGCTCCCATTGGACCCAGGGCCTTAAGCATGCTGGGCCAGTGCTTTACCACTACACTACACTCTCTGTTATCTTAAAATTTTACTCTGGAAATTAAAGACAACGACAACAATAACAAACAAAAATCTTCTGGAAATTTGGCTGGTCAGTGGAGTCAAAATCTGGAACCACTGATCTGATTTCCTTACCTTTTGAGTAATCTTTTAAAATGTATCATCCCCCATAGCTTATGTGCAGGAAGAAAGCACATGCTATTTGGAGAATGTGACTCTCTGGCTCCCTGGGCATTTACTTCTCATTACTAATTAATAATTTGGTGCCTTGGTGAGCTGCTTCAGACTCTTACTCGTGAATTTTATTAGCATGAGTCAGCCTCTCCTGTTCATTCTGTCAAGATCAAATAATCTCTCAGCCTAGAGTGGGAGGTAGACCACAGCAAATTCTGTCAGCAAAGTTGCTGTCACCTTGTGAGATCTGTGGAAGTCAGCCAGCCAGCCTCTCTAGCAACACTTCCCACTTGTACATCTCTTGCCTTTCCCTCTCTGACATTATAAAGACAACAGATGTATTATTTACACACTTAAAAAAGCAACATGCATTAGATTAGTGTTTGAAGAAATCACTTCCTTCTCAAGGGAAATGGTGCCTCTTACTAACCTCTGGTTTTCTTTGGGTCCCAAAGAGTAAATCAGAAATCTCTATAGACGAGCACAAGGGGGGGACACTGGAGTTTTGGAAACACTGGTTTGGACTAAGTGTTGTATAATTTACTGCAGACCCTCTACTGTGGGAATATGTATCATAAAGTCTCCCAGAGAGGACATTTTGAGCAATGTTTGCCAAATTTGTTTAATTATGAAATAAACCACCCACTTTTGTTTTTCCAAGCCATCATATGGGATAGCAATCCACAAATTGCAGCTCAGTGGCAGAGTGCTTGCCTAGCATGTGTGAGGCACTGGGTTCAATCCTCTCAGCACCATATTAAATTTTTTTTTGGTGTTGGAGATTGAACTCTTATTTTTTTTTTTTTTTTGGTACCAAGGATTTTGAACTCAGGGGCACTCAACCACTGAGCCACATCCCTAGCCCTTTTTTATATTTTATTTAGATTTAAAGACAGGGTCTCACTGAGTTTCTGAGAGCCTTGATCAATTGCTGAGGCTGGCTTCCAACTAGGAATCCTCCTGCCTTCGCCTCCTGAATTGCTGTGATTATAGGATGCACCACCATACCCTCCTGAAACCTTGCTCATTGTAAATCAGTGGTTCTCAGCTGGGGAAAATTTTGCTCCCTGGGGGACATTTGGAAAATATCTGGAGACACTTGATTATCAGATTGCATTCTCTAGCATATGGAACAATGCCCAGAATTCTCAGAGCCAGCAGCTCTGAGGCTGAGGCAGGAGGATCCCAAGTTCAAACCCAGCCTTAGCAACTTAGTGAGTCTATAAGCAATTTAGCAAGACCCTATCTCAAAATAAAAAATAAAAAGGGCTGGGAGTATGTCTCTGTGGTTAAGTGCCTCTGGGTTCAATCCCCGATACCAAAAACCAAAAAAAATTGTGACTTAGATTTTTGGGGGGTTTTTATGTACCTGGGATTGAACCCAAGGGCACTTAACCATTGAGCCACATTCCCAGCCCTTTTTATTTTTTATTTTGAGACAGGGCCTCACTGAGTTGCTTAGAGCCTCACTAAGTTGCTGAGGCTGGCTTCAAAACTACAATCCTTCTGTCTCAGCTTCCTGAGCCACTGGGACTATGGGTGTGTGCTACCACACCCAGCTTAAGATCTTTTTTTTTAATATTGAGTTTTCCGTACTTCTCTCCTCCAGAAACTTCAATTCACTGGGTCTAGGACAGAGTCTTCAACAAGAACCTCAGGCATTCTTAAGGACATTTGCTCTTAACTCATCTCAGATTAGCTGGGAGAACAGATTGATCTTGATTTGAGGCAGTGATCCTCAAACTTGGGCTGGTGTCAGAATCACCTGGAGAGATTACTAAAACAGACTGCTGGGACCCCCTTCAGAGCTTCTGATTCAGCAGGTCTACTTTGGGTCCCAAGGTTTTGCACTTCCAGCAAGTTCCTGAGGGTTGCTGATATGGCTGGTCCAGATGTCTCACTTTGAAAGCCATTAGTTTAAATGTTCCCTCTTCTGCAGGTGGCGATGCCTCCATCATTCCAATGCTTGAGTTTGAAGAACAGCCTTGCTGTCCTGTCATCAGAGATCAGGATAGCAGTTTATCATTAGAAGACAGTGGTAATGTGAAGACTCCTGAAAATGAAAGGAAATACAAAGACCCTGACGGTCCTGTAACCAAAAAGATGAGGTTTGAGCCTGGAACTCCTGCCAGGTTCTTCACCAATGGCACAGCTCAGCATGGCAAGCAAGACAGTGGCCCGTTTGCATCAGGTGTCAGAAGCTCTAACCTCACTGTAGAAAGATTGGCCACTGTCGCCTGTGGCGCTCCCAGGAGTGCCACAGTGGTGGACATTTATAGAACTGGAGCCAAGTGTGTGCCTGGAGAAGCTGAAGACTTGAGGAAGCCAGGTGCTGCATACCACCAGGTGGGGTTGCTCCGAGTGAAGCCAGGCCGGGGAGACAGGACCTGCTCCATGTCATGCAGTGACAAGATGGCCCGATGGAATGTCCTTGGCTGCCAGGGTGCACTTTTGATGCATTTCTTAGAAGAGCCCATCTACCTGTCAGCTGTGGTCATTGGGAAGTGCCCATACAGCCAGGAAGTCATGCAGAGAGCACTGATTGGAAGGTGAGAGGGCAGGGAGGAAGGGCAGTTTGAGAATATGTTCAGAGAGCCTTAAAAGTTTCCATGCCTTGTCAGGCACTTGGCAAGTGGCAGATGCCTGTAATCCCTTAGGCATGGGAGGCTGAGGCAGGAGGATTATGAGTTCAAAGCCAGCCTCAGCAAAAGTGAGGCACTGAGCAACTCAGACCCTGTCTCTAAATAAAATACAAAATTGGGGGCTAGGGTTGTGGCTCAGCCTTAGAGCACTCGCCTAGCACATGCAGGGCCCTGGGTTCAATCCTGAGCACTACATATAAATAAATAAAATAAAGGTATTGTGTCAACTACAACTAAATATATATATATATTTATACACACACACACACACACACTCTCTCTCTCTCTCTCTCTCTCACACAAAATTACGCTGGGGCTCAGTGGTTAAGTGCCCCTGAGTTCAATCCCCATTACGAAAAATAATAATAATAATATTGAGGCAGAGTGTGGTGGCACATGCCTCTAATCCCAGTGACTCAGGAGGCTGAGGCAGGAGGATCACAAATTTGATGCCAGCCTCAGCAACACAACAAGACGCTCTCTCAAAAAATAAAGCCAAGCACAGTGGCGCACACCTGTAATCCCAGTGGCTTGGGAGGCTGAGGCAGGAGGATCAGAAGTTTAAAGCCAGCCTGAACAACTTAGTGAGACCCTGTCTCAAAGTTGGAAAATAAAAAGGTCTGGAGATGTGGCTCAGTGATTAAGTGCCCCTGGGTTCAATCTCCAGAATCACAAAAATAAAAATAATAATAATAATAATATTATTCCTCAAAAGTTTGAATAGAGCCCTGAGTTCAGTCCCCGGCACTGCAAAAGAAAGGTGAATATTTAATGTGAAAGGTATTCATAGTATACCCCATTTGATTCAAATGTCTGATATGTCAAGATCATTGTACTGTCATGTGTAACTAATTAAAACAAATAAAATAATATAATATTTAAAGACCAATTGAGAACATAAAATGAGCTCCATTTTGATCTTGAAGTATATATACACATAGAAGTCTGTAGGAGGATGTTCACCAAGATATATGTGATGATTATCTCCAAGTTGTGTATTGTGAGGAATTTTTCATTCTTTGTTATTACTATATTTCCAATTTTTATAGAGTATACTTATGTTGTCAGTATAGTATAGAACCCTTCAATATTAATTTTAATTTTTTAAAAAAGATGAAGAATGACCACACTGATGAGTTTTCCCTAAGGGAGGCAGCCAAGCCTGATTAATGCTATGTAAATGAGGACCAGGAGAAGCCATGGCCAGGGAAGTGTCATGGGCTCACGTGAAACATACAGCCTCTGGGGGAGATTCTAAAAAGCAGCACCTGAATATGACCCAGCAGTTCCACTCTTCAGTACAACTCCAAGAGAAATGAAAACACATACCCCACAAAAACATTATGTATTACTTACGATAGCCAAAAAGTGAAACAGCCCAAATGCCCATCAGTGGATAAACAGATAAAAAGAATGCAGCGTATCCATACAATCAAATATTCAGCTATAAAATGAACAGGAGTGCTGAACCTTGAAGACACCTTGCTGAGTGACATTAGCCACGTGGTATATGATTTCATTCATACAGAATGTCCAAAAGAGGCAAATCATGGGGCTGGGGTTGTAACTCAGTGGTAGAGTGCTTACCTAGTATGGTGAGGCACTGGGTTAGATCTTCAGCACCACATAAAAAATACATAAATAAAAGGTATTGTACTCATCTACAATTAAAAAAAAATTTTTTTTAATTAAAAAAAAAAGGGAAAATCAAGACAGATTAGTAGATGTCAGGGGCTGGTGAAGGAAGCAGAGTGACTGCAAATGGGTGTGAGGTCTCTTGGACTTGGAGTTCCTATCTACATAGTTTTACACCAGCATCATGTTGGCATCTAGTATGTGCAAAAGATACAAAAGGAATAAAAATAAGCTTTTCATTTGGCGATATTTTCAGTTTCTGGTGTGTTTGAAGGATTTCCTGGGAAGCAGTTGCCAACAGGTTAAAGATTCTGCTTCAACTTTCTCAAACCTTTAGCAAGAATGTATTTTGAGGGCTGGGGTTATGGCTCAGTGGTAGAATGCTCGCCTCGCATGCTTGAGGCACTGAGTTCAATCCTCAGCACCACATAAATGTAAAATAAAGATATTGTGTCCACTTTAAAAAATAAAAAGTAAATATTAAAAAAAAGAATGAATTTTGATATGACGTAGACTCAATTTTTAGTCATCCCTTCAGAGTAATAGGAGGGGCCTTCCTCCATCCATAGGCGTTTACCATGTAGATTCTGTCCTGGCACACATTCTGGTCCCCAATGTAATGAACAAGTAGATTCACACATCTCCCAAGGCCTTTGCCTCCCGCTGAGGCTCAGGGATGATGATCAGTCTTTTTCTGGAGAATTGCACTGCACCTGAACTGAACACATTTTCCTTCATGTTTAGGTGTCAAAATGTCTTGGCTTTACCCAAAGGTTATGGAGTTCAAGGACTGAAAATACAGCAGTCAGATTTACTGTTTGAACAGAGTCGCTGTGCAGTGCAGACAAAAAGGGCTGACAGTCCCGGCCGACTTGTTCCATGTGGGTCAGGTAAGGGATCCAGGTTGGACTTGCCTAGTATAATTTCTCCCCTGACAGACTAGTCTGGGAGGGTCTGCATCCTCCCAGCTTAAACAGGCAGTTTACCACTCTAGTAGTCAACAGTGGAAATGCCCACACCAGGTTAAGTTTATGGCTATGTGACCCTGAGCAAATGAGTTACCTCTCCTGGCCTCAGTTTCTTTATCTTCATATTTGAAGAGTATTGTTTATTGTGGTTATTATGAGGACTAAGAAATTCTGTCACGTGCATTTACTCTGTGTCTAGAATGTAATAAATTTTCAATGAAATTATAAGTTATTATGATAATGAATCCTGAACCACTTTATACTATCGTACCCTAGAGGCCAGACATCAAAGTAAAATTATTCTCTTTGATATCCAGCTCTCATGGTCATGTAGAGTCAGAGAAATATTTTTATTAAAATTTTCTGGCATTCATTGGAAACGAACCAGTTTTAACCACAGAATTTTACCTTTTTACAGCTATCAGCTGGGCTGCAGTTCCTGAGCAGCCATTGGATGTTACTGCCAATGGCTTTCCACAGGGAACAACAAAGAAAGGAATTGGAAGTCTTCAGGCCAGGTACAGCATGTTGGGGCATGAAGAGATGGTGACTGTGAACTTACACCTTCACTGAATAATTCCAGAACATTTTCATTGCCACCCCGTCCCCCGCACCAAGAAAACTTTATCCATTAGCAGTTAGTTACCTGCTCCTTCCTCTCCCTAGCACTTGGAAGCTTAATTCACTTTCTGTCTTCTTGGGTTTGTCTCCTGGACAGTTCATATGAATGGAACTGTACAATATGTGCCCTTTTGTGTGTGGCTTCATTCACATGAATTATTTTCATGGTTCACTCATGTTGTAGCATGTATTAGTACTTCATTTCTTTCTGTGGTTAAAAATATTCTGTTGTATGAATATGCCACTTTTAGCTCATCCATTCATGAATTGATGAGTACTGGAGTTGTTTTACTTTACTTTTTGTCTATTGTGAATAATGTAGCTATGCCATTTCACATTCCCACCAACAATGTGAAAGGGAATTCCAGTTGCCCTCCATCCTATGCAATTCTTCTTATTGTCTCTTTTTTATTATAGCTATTCTACTGAGTGTGAGGTAGTATCTCATTATGGTCTTGATTTACATTTCCCTAATGACTAATGGTGTTGAGCATCTTTTTATGTACTTATTATCCATTTGTTGTAAGCTGCTGCTACTGCTGCATTTTTTTTGTTTGTTTGTTTGTTTGTTTTGTTTTGTTTTGTACCAGGGATTGAACTCAGGAGCACTCGAGCTCATCCCCAGCCCTATTTTGTATTTTATTTAGAGACAGGGTCTCACTGAGTTGCTTAGCTATTGCTAAAGATGGCTTTGAACCCGTGATCCTCCTATCACAGCCTCCTGAGCTGCTGGGAATATAGGCATGTGCCACCGTGCCCAGCAGCTTCTTTTTTGGTCTAGAAATTGAACCCAAAGGCATATAACCACTTAGCCACATCCTCAGCCCTTTTTTTCTTTTTTATTTTGAAACAGGATCTCACTAAATTGCTGAGGCTGACTTTGAATTTAGGATTATCTGCCTCAGCCTCCCAAGCTGACATGATTATAAGGTGTGCGCCACCACCATGCCTGGCCATTTTTTATCTTCTTAAGACAAAATATTTGTTCCCATTCTTTGCCCACTTTGTTAATTTGTTTAACTTTTTAGTTTGCATTTTAAGCCTGCTTTATATACTATGGATACTAGTCCTTTATCAGATATGTGATTTGCAAATATTTTCTCCAGTTCAGTGAGTTGTCATTTCACTTTATGATCATGTCTTTTAAAGCACAAAAATTTAAAATTTTGATAGAATTAACTGTACGTATTTTTTTCTTTGGTTGATTGTGCTTTTGGTGTAATACTTAAGAAACTATTACCTAATCAGATTTCCTCAATGTTTTCTTCTAGTAGTTTTGGGGGTTTTGCTCTTATAGGTTAGAGCCTTTGATCCATCTTGAGTTGATTTTTCTGTTTTGGTGGATATCCTGACCACATGTATGTGCATACCCAGTTGTCCCAGCACCACTTTCTTGGAAAACCTGTTTTTTCCCTAGACAGATTTTTTAAAAAGAAAAGTCCCTCCTTCACTAGGGATTCTGATTTATGTAGGTTGACATCGGCCAAGCAGCAGCATTGGTGAAGCTCCCCAGTGATTGGGTTGGCAAAAGGGCATCTAGAAACAGGACTCTGCCTCCTCAGGCTGGCTCTGCTGAAGTATAGGGTTTGCAGGCTGCTAGACATGAGACCCAGGTTTCATCCCTGCAGGTTCATGCCTGTGCCCATGGGGCACCCTTTCTATTGCCTGGCCAATGTAGTCAATCTGCTTTTCCCTCCCTGTGAGCCAGACGTGGTCTGTGAGTAGCTGGGGTGAGAGGGCTTCAAGGGAGAGGCTGCTCCACCACAGGCATTTCTATCTGTTTGGATTGAATTGTGACCAGTGTGACTGCTCTGGAACTCCTACAATTTACAGATAGTCCTTTTTTTTTT